AGGAGCCAGGTGCTTCTCCTGGTCTCCCATGGGGTGCAGGGCCCAAGCACCTGGGCCATCCTCCACTGCACTCCCTGGCCACAGCAGAGAGCTGGCCTGGAAGAGGGGCAACCGGGACAGAATCCGGTGCCCCGACCGGGACTAGAACCCGGTGTGCCGGCGCCGCTAGGCGGAGGATTAGCCTAGTGAGCCGCGGCGCCGGCCTCTCTTTTGAATTTTCAAGAGATTTATTTGAATAGCAGAGTTACAGAGAAAGAGGGAGAATAAGAGAGAGTGCGAAATCCTCCATCTGCTGGTTTCCTTCCCAAATGGCTTCAAGTTGGAGATGGGTCAGGTTGAAGCCAGAAAATTCATGCCAATCTCCCACATGGGTGACATGTCCTCAAGTAGTTGAGCTATCATCCACTGCTTCCCAGATCATTCCAATCCAGGAAGCTGGACTGGAAGCAGAGGAGCCAGGACTCCAACTAGCACCTCTGATATGGGATGCGGGCGTTGCAAGCTGTGGCTTGATCCAGTGCACAACGTTTGGCCTCCTGAGTTTTGGGTTTTCTTTCTAAATTTTTATTAATGGGGCTGGCGCTGTGGCGTAGCGCATAGAGCCACCGCCTGCAGTTCCAGCATCCCATATGGACGCTGGTTCGAGACCCAGCTGTTCCACTTCCAATCCAGATCTCTGCTATGGCCCGAGAAAGCAGTAGAAGATGGCCCAAGTCCTTGGGCCCCTGCATCCACGTGGGAGACCCGGAAGAAGCACCTGTCTCCTGGCTTTGGATCGTCGCATCTCCAGCCGTTGCGGCCAATTAGGGAGTAAACCAGCAGATGGAAGACCTCTCTCTTTTTCTGCCTCTGCCTCTCTGTAACTTATTTACTTATTTGAAAGGAGGAGTTAGAGAGAAAACCTCCCATCCACTGGTTCATTCCCCAGATGGCCACAACAGTTGGGGCTGGAGCTGGGCCAATCTGAAACCAGCAGCCAGGATCTTCTTCCAGGTCTCCCACATGGGTGCTGGGACCCAAGGACTTGGGCCATCTTCTATTGCTTTTCCAGGGCATAGCAGAGAGCTGGATTTGAAGTGGAGCAGCCAGGACTTGAACTAGTGCCCCTATGGGATGCTTGGACTGCAGGAGGCTGCTTTACCTGCTATGTCACAGCACCGGCCCCTGTCTATTCACATTTTTTTTTTTTTTTTTTTTGACAGGCAGAGTTAGACAGTGAGAGAGAGAGACAGAGAGAAAGGTCTTCCTTTTTCCGTTGGTTCACCTCCCAAGTGGCCGCTACGGCCGGCATGTTGTGGCCGGCGTGCTGCACTGATCCGAAGCCAGGAGCCAGGTGCTTCCTCCCAGTCTCCCATGCGGGTGCAGGGCCCAAGCACCTGGGCCATTCTCCACTGCCCTCCTGGGCCATAGCAGAGAGCTGGATTGGAAGAGGGGCAACCGGGACAGAATCTGGCACCCCAACTGGGACTAGAACCCAGGGTGCCAGCACCACAGGCGGAGGATTAGCCTAGTGAGCCGCGGCGCCAACCTGTCTATTCACATTTAAGAGTAAGACACTAAAAAGCTGATTGGAAGCTATGTACAAGGTTTATTAATAGGCTTTGCCATAGGGTAGTAAGTGGAAGAAAATTTTGTCAAGAAAACCAAACTGTCGTCATTCATAGGCCTTTTTTTTTCCTGCAGAGGTTCAGCTTGTTTTTTGCCTGAAAGGTGTAAGTTAGCGTGTGCTGAGGTTCAGCGTCCCACCACTCACGTGCTTTCACTTAATTCCTTACTTTTTATGTAATCCCTCATCCCCAATCCCACCACGGCAGCTGCTGAGGCCAGAAGCTCTGGTATTTAAATTCTCCCCGACATTCTGAAATTTCATGGGCTTTTCCATTCAGTATGCCAGCGACTGGGGAGGGGGGTTGTCAGTGTGGAAACTTGTGACATTTGGGTTTAGAAAACCCTAAGTATTTCCTAAGAGCCTGAAGCTCCCGTCTCTTGCAGGGGAGGAACAGCAGTATCACTTAGCTGGGTCAGATCTGGAGGGGATCTTAGAGGCCAATTTCTTCTACAAACCTTTGAAACCCCCTCCATCCCCTCCCTCTCCTTACCCTCCTGTGAGCTTCAGAGCCTTTTCTGGGTTGCAACTTCTGTTAATAACCACCCTGGCAGACAGAGCCCACCTTACTCTAAGTCAGTTTTTTTTTTGTTGTTGTTTTGTTTTGTTTTTTAGTTTAAATATTTATTTATTTGAAAGGCAGACTTATAAAAAGAGAGGAGGCCAGCGCCGGCACCCCGAGTTCTAGTCCCGGTTGCTCCTCTTCCAGTCCAGCTCTCTGCTGTGGCCCAGGAAGGCAGTGGAGGATGGCCCAGGTGCTTGGGCCCTGCACCCGCATGGGAGACCAGGAGGAAGCACCTGGCTCCTGGCTTCGGATCGGCACAGTGTGCCAGCCACAACACGCCGGCCATAGCAGCCACTTGGGGGGTGAACCAACGGAAAAAGGAAGAGCTTTCTGTCTCTCTCACTGTCTATAACTCTGTCTCTCTCTCACTGTCTAACTCTGCCTAGTTAAAAAAAGAGAGAGAGAATGAAAGACAGGGGAGAGAGAGAGAGAGAGAGAGAGAGAGAATCTTCCACTTCTTGGTTCACTCCCCAAATGCCCACAATAGCTGGGATTAGGTTAGGCCAAAGCCAGGAGCCAGGAGCTTTTTCTGGGTCTCCCACATGGGTGCAGGGGCCCAAGCACTTGGGCCATCCTCCGCTACTTTCCCAGGCACATCAGCAGGGAGCTGGATTGAAAGTGGAGCAGCTAGGACTTGAACCAGCACCCACATGGGATGTTGGCATTGCAGGCTGTGGCTTAACCTGCTACTCCACAGCTTTAGTGCCTTGGTCACTATTTTTCACTTTCCAAAATGATGTCTCTCATCCATTGTCACTTCTCTTTCCTTATCCAGTCAAGTGCTTTTTTAGGAAAGTAGGTTCCTTGGGGCCAATGCTGTGGCACAGTTAGTTAAGCTGCTGCCTATAGTGCTGACTCCCATATGGGCATTGATTCAAGTCCTAGCTGCTTCACTTCAATTCAGCTCCTAGTGATGCACCTGGGAAAGCAGTGGATGATGGCCCAAATCCTTGGGCCCCTACCACCCACATGGGAGACCTGGAAGAAGCTCCTGGCTCCTGGCTTCAGCCTGGCCAGCCTTGGCTATCGTGGCTATTTGGGGAGTGAACCAATAGATGGAAGACCTCTCTCTGTCTCTCCTCTAATTCTGCCTTTCAAATAAATAAATAAATCTTTAAAAAAAAAATTCCTTTTCTAGTATTGTAATGGGATTTTTAGAGCAAGCAAAGAAAGCTGATGTACTTAACTGGAAACCCTTTGCTTTGCTGTGGATATGCCCTTGTAACCTTTCCTCTCTCAGGACACTCCAGCATCACCACGTGGCAGTCTTCCCTAATCACCCCACCGGAAGCAATCTCTTTCCTGAAAAGCTGCAGAGGCCACTGTGACCCCTGCCACCCATCTGGTACAGGCCAGAGATGTTTACAGTTACTTGGATTTAACTGCCCCATTAGGTCCAGGCCATAACCTTCATGTCTTCTCCAGGCACTTGACTCAGATCAAAACAGATTTACTGAACAAGGAAACTAAATGATGCCAAACCCTGGCCAGCATGTTCTCCCTTCTTTAGAAATAAATACTCAGTCATGCTTCACATGCCCACGTGGAGTTCAGTGTGCTCAGCTCAACGCTTCAGCTCACTCCTTCCCACACAACTGAAATGAAGGCAACCGCTTTATCTATGATGTTCCTCTGTGTCAGCCACCTGTTACACAGAGACAACTGGCAGTTTAAGTGTCAACATGAAGGCAACAGAGAGTTCAAAAGATAAGAGGGAAGGGCTTGTTTCGTGGTTGAGGTAAAAGGAGGTGATAGAGCAAGTGACAGACGGCAGAGCTTGACTTTAGCATCAGCTCCCGCTTCTGTCCATTACCAGTCTTGAGACTTCTCTGAGCTGCAGGCACTTCATCTAGAAATGAAACTTATCACTTAATTTCATAGGGCTGATATGAGGGTTAAATGGAATAACACATGACAAGTATTTAGCAAATAACAAAATGCCCATCAAACAGTAACCACTCTCTCCATATTTAAAACATTTCACAGGATCTCCTGTGTTCTAAGGGTTCCATTACTGACTTGGGGTTGTATTTGCCTCTGTGAGAAAGTTCTGGATTCTGAGGGTCAAGTCCCTAGCTTTCCTCTTTAAGAGTTATGCAAGGGGCCAGCGCTGTGGCATAGAAGGCTAAGCCATCCCATATGGGTGCTGGCTTGAGCCCTGGCTGCTCCACTTCTGATCCAGCTCCCTGCTAATGTGCCTGGGAAAGCAGTAGAGGATGGCCCAAGGGCTTGGGTCCGTGCACCCACATGGGAGACCTGGGAGAAGATCCTAGCTCCTGGCTTCAGCCTGACCCAGCCCTGGCCGTTGTGGCCATTGGGGGAGTGAACCAGTAGATGGAAGATCTCTCCTTCTCTCTGGATCTCTGCCTTTCAAATATATATATATATATATATATATATATATATATATATATATATATGTATTTTGAGTATGGGACCTTGAGCAGATTTCGTATCTTTAAGATGAAGAGCCACCTGGCCTCCTTGACAGGACTAGTACTGGGATCAACTGGGAAAAGTGTGAGAAGGACTAGCACGTGGTAATGGCCTTTCCATCTGCTGGGCATTGTCACCCTCTGGCAGAAGAGTTTAAACCAGGGCCCCCTGTGGAAATAGGCTCAGGACCACAAATGGACCCACAAATGCTGGGAAAGAATCGAGGTTCTACACCATCTGTGAGTCATGGCGACAGGTGGTTAAGTGGCGAGGCACTACAGTACCCCCTAGTGGCAAAAACACCTCCTGGTCCCTCTCCTTCAGGTGTTAGGGAGTCCCAGGGTGCGAACGCCAATGGCTGGTAAGTCAGAGCTGCAGAGAAATCATACACTTCTCTCTTTTTTAATATTAACAAATACAAGCAGCAGAGAGGCCAGCTGCTCTCTGCTGTTCCCTGAGGGAGAGCCCGAGCACACAGGTTCCTCTGGCCTTCCTCCAACCGCAGGCCTGCCCAGCTCCTCCCTAGGCAGATGCTTTGTTCCAGTCTGACTTCCCTCATCCCAGTGCCCCAGTTGGGACGGGAGGCACATGGTTGCTGGCAGTGTGAATACTGTAGTTCCAGCCTCTGCTCCTTGGGTCACGGGACGGTGGTCACTCATCCTTCCACAACCAGCTCCGCACTTGTCCTGGCCCAGGAACCAGGAGGACAATGACTCAGAGCCCCAGGAGCGGGCAGCATGTGACTTCAGTCATCTTCAGATGACTCCTCTTCTGCCTCTTTTAGCCACTGGATGAACCTCTGTAGCTGTAAGGAGATGCAGGGCTCAGCTACTGGGGAGGGGCACGTTACCCTCCTATTCCCCATGGCACGTAAACGGCTCTGACTAGACTCCAGCCACCCTGGAAACTAGGGTCAAAGACTAGGGAACGGGATGGCCTTCCTCACCTGCTGGTTCTTGCGCAGCTGCCGGCCCTTGTCCGTTACATCCCTTTGGCCGAACCAGCTCAGGATCGTCTCCTCAGCCAGGATCTCTAGCTGGTAGAAACCCATCAGTACCTGCAGAAGGCCAGTGAAGGGGATCTCAGGGGCCTTGCAGAGTCAAGCAACATATAATGGATAACAGAGGAAGAGGAGGCCGGACCTTAGCACCTGACCACCAGGCCCTCAGCTTCCTTCTCCATACCAAGCAGCCTTCTCCAAAACAGACAACAGTGAGCTATTTACTCTGGTAGTAGAGCAGGCATAACTTCTGAATGCGGAGGAGCATTTTGCACATTCCCAGGCCAATCCCCAATGCCTGCCCTCCTAAGCCTTACAGCTCTAAGCTGTACTCTTCCAGTAATAAGCATGACACTAGGGGTGGATGGTGCTATCCACCAAACTCCTGACTGGGTTCATGTGAGTCTCTGTTTTGTGTGTCCATGGGGGTCTCCAAGGCCTGTTTCAAAGTCAGTGTAGGAGCATGGGGCTCGAGGTGGTATTCACCTTGGCTATGCAAGTACCAAGAGCTTCATGCTCCAGGAAGAACTCCTCAATGGCTGCCAATGCTTCCAAATGGTCGGCTGCACGCTTTATGTAGTTCCTAAAAACAGGGCTCCAGGCCTTGAGCAACTATGGAAGAAAGGAGAATGAAGCTGGAATACATTCCTGGGCATGTACCTGTATACCTGTATCGGGACATCAAGGAAAATCAACACTGATAACATGAGCCTTTCATGTTATGGGAGGACAAGAGTGAAATGATACAGGTCTGAGGAATCATGGCGGAAGGACTTAGAAGTTACTGGCAGTCAGGGGTGGGGAAAAAATGGTTCCCCAGGAAAGGTAAAAGGGGGTCAGACACTGAAGGCTTCCTCAAAATACCTAGTCCCCACCTCGAGGCTGATCTCATTCAGGGTCAAATCATTTTCATAGTGTCTGAAAGTCCAGGTCTTTCCTGAGTATATCCTTGAGAGCCTAGCATGGACTGAATCCTGTAGTCTCAAAGGCTACTCAGTATTGAACCCAATCAGATTCCAGAGGCAAAGGGAAAGGAGGTAAAGGCAGCAAATAACCTGATTTCCTGTGAAGTCAAGCATGGCAAATACATGTGTCCATCACCACCCAATCCCGGTCCCCAGCCCCAGTCTTTGCTCACAGGAAGCAGCAGGGCACAGTAGCGGTTTGCCTCCAGCGGGGAATCCATTTGTTGCAGTGGGAACTCCAGGACCACATGGCTCAGTACCTGCATCACCTCCTTTAGGCTTATGTTGTAGGCATACCTGTGGGGAGACTGGGGTGACACCAGGGCCTTCACTGGCCCTGTCAGCATGCTGTAGGACTAGGACTTTGACAGAATACCAAGGAGAGGAAGTCAGAGGGAACAGCATGGAGGGAGAAAGTCTGCGGAGGCTGGAACCTAAAGCTCTTCCTGCTCTATTGGGTTCTTGAAGAAAAAGGTTCCTATCTGGGCAAGAGAACACTTAGGAAAGAACCTCTACCTGCCTGAGTTACCCCAGGGAGGAGAGAACACGGAGGCACTCCTCTTACTTGAGAGAGTTGATCTCCAGGATGAGATTGTCACAAGAAATGCTCTCTTCTTTGCCCCGCTGCAGTGTTCCCAGGACTTCATTCTGGAACACTGAAAATGAAAGCAAGAGTAAGTTCACGAGCCAATATCACTTCAGAAACGCTCTAAGTTATCTGGCCCTGATTCCACACGAAACCTTTTCAGGGAGGAACACATGCGTTTGGCTAGTGGATCCAGGCAAACAATAACCTGGAGGCTTTCTTCCTTTGTCCGGGACACGACTGCCTTGGCCACTTACTTTTTTTTTTTTTTTTTTTTGGACAGGCAGAGTGGACAGTGAGAGAGAGAGAGACAGAGAGAAAGGATTTCCTTTTCCCTTGGTTCACCCCCCAATGGCCGCTGCGGCCTGGCTGATCTGAAGCCAGGAGCCAGGTGCTTCTCCTGGTCTCCCATGTGGGGAGGACCCAAGCACTTGGGCCATCCTCCACTGCACTCCCGGTCCACAGCAGAGAGCTGGACAGGAAGAGGAGCGACCGGGACAGAATCCGGTGCCCTGACCGGGACTAGAACCCGGTGTGCCGGCGCCACAGGCGGAGGATTAGCCTAGTGAGCTGTGGTGCCAGCCATGGCCATTTACCTTTGATGTCATCCAACTGGGGGGAGCCTGCTCGGCTGTCCAGCTCCTCAGAATCCATGCTTCGCTCACTTTCAGTCTCACTCTCCTCTTCCTCATTGATTGTGAGTCCTGAAAATGCAGAAAGGATGAGAAATCAGAAAAATAAGGAAAGAGACCTTCACAGGGGCGACTTATCTGCTGTGCGGGAGGAAAGCAGTCAACAAGTAATCCGAATCCGAGGTATTCATTAACCTTTCAAGTATTCCGACTGAGCAGAGGAGGACAGGCACAAGGCCGAGCTCACCCCACAGACTCTGCCGCAGTTCTTCCTCTTTCTCCGTGTTCATGTCAGCAGCTTTCCAGAGGTAGCCTTTGCCTGCAACTCCTACTTCCGCTGGATTGTAACCTGGAAGCATGCTGCCCTTTAGAGAAGGCCCATGAAGCAGCAACACCCCCCAAGGCAGGATCACTGGTTTTCCTATGGGGCAGAGAGACACACAGACGCCCCACACCTGTTGAGCCTCACACCTTTCAGCTTCGCTTTCTCCTTTGCTTGGTTGACCCCAGAATCATCACTGAACTGGCCATCATCCTCATCTTCTTCTGCATCTGGAGGGTGCAAAGAGATGACCGAGCCCTCAGGCAGCGTGATGTTGGGGCCCACTACCACCTGGGGGAGAAAAAAGTAGTAGGTGGCACCGACCCCACAGTGCATGGAGGAAAGATACATCCTGACAATGAAAGCAACTTTTCTTTATTAAGCCAATGAAACCACTGGATTTGGACTCTGAGTTCTGGCTGGACTGTGGGTGGAAATAAGACCCCTTCTGGGTCAATGTGACTACCCATCAATTCAGGGCCTACAAGAAGCAGGGGACAAATCTCACCTGGGAAGTAAGGACACAGTGTGGCTTCAGTGTCACTTGTTCCTTGACCTCAGCATGGTCACAGAGCAGAGACTGATGGATCTGCGCCCCAGAAGCCACTTGAACACCTTTCCACAGGTAGGCCCGGTCCAGCACCACGTTATCACCTGGCTCAGGATGGGAAGGACTTCTGGTCACTCAGGATCCCAAAACCAGACCAAAGCCCTTCGGGGAAGACAGGGCTGCCTGATCCCAGCAAACCCCCTCTAGCTCCAATACCCCCCTCTCTCCACCTTGTTCACCAAAAAAAAAAAAAAAAAAAATACCCCCTCGCCCTCCAGGCCTAGGCCTGAGAGTAGAACACTGCTCAGATGGTCCATCCTCCCCACAGTGGACAACAACTACAGACAATAAAGAGACCTAAGAACTGAGAACCTGTAAGGTTTCTGGAAACTTTCTCAATTCAAGAACCTTATTACAGGGGCCAGCGCTGTGGCATAGCAGGCAAAGCCACCACCTGCAGTGCTGGCATCCCAATGGGCGCCGGTTAGAGTCCTGGCTGCTCCACTTCCAATCCAGCTCTGTGCTATGGTCTGGGAAAGCAGTGGAGGATGGCCCAAGTCCTTGGGCCCCTGCACCCACATGGGAGACGCGGAAGAAGCTTCTGGCTCCTGATCGGCACAGCTTTAGCTGTTGCAGCCAATTGGAGAGTGAACCAGTGGATGGAACGCCTCTCTCTCTCTCTCTCTGCCTCTCCTCTGTGTGTAACTCTTTCAAATAAATAAATAAATCTTTAAAAAAAAACCTTATTACAATAATATCCATGTCTGAAAAAATCAGGTCAAATTATCTGGCCTCTTCTTGTATATTTTAGAATTTTAATCTTATTGTTGATCGTTTAAAGGGGCAGTACCATTAGGAGCACATTCCCACAACCAAAGTGAGTTGCCAAGAGGCTAACCAGTCAGATATGGAAGAATAAAGAACACTGGACCCAGATTCAAGTCCCAGCACTGATTCTCATTACCTATGACCAGCAAGATAACCTCCTTGAGCCTGTTTGTAAATGAGAGATAAATAATAACTACCTTGCAAGGTTTTTGTAAGGATTAAACAAAATAACGTATATGAAAGCCCTTTGTAAACTGTAATGCAGTTAGACAGATGTTATTACTGCATGCTAATTATCTACCTGGTCCTAAATCTGAATATAGGGTACCCTGGAATGTGAAGAGTCACCCAGTACACAGGCCACAAATTAGGTTATTACTACTTTCAAGCCCCTATTCCCTCGTTTCTGAGGGTAGCCACTCTGGTTCCTTATTCCCAGGGACTAGCCCTCACACCTCCATCTTTGTATCCAGAGACACAGGGTCCCCGGTTCCTGCTCCTAGGATGGCGGGCTTGCCTCCCCACCTGTGCTCACCAATGCAGCAGCCAGGACCAATGACACTGTTGGTGATAGAGCAGTTGCTGCCAATGACAGTGCCAGAGCCCAGGAGTACATTCTCCTCCAGGATGCTGCCATGGCCCAAGCTGACCTCGGGCCCTCGGTAGATGTTGTGCCGGGAATGAGTGCAGCTCTGAGCGGTGCTGTCAGTGAAGTTTGCCTCTGGGGTGAGAGGGTAGACCCATCGGCGGATGACATCGGCACAGACAGCAGAGTACATGTGCAGGTTGGAGACCCGGGCACCGTATTCCCTAGTTGTTACATGCATGTGGATCTGGTTCCCTAGGATCTGATGAGGAAAGGAGAAGGTGGTTAGCCAAGCCAGCAAGACAGGAAGAATGCCTCCAAGTACAACACCTTTCTACCCTCTAAGTTCCCTTCTGCCAGCTCTCACTGTCACAGCCAAACAGCCAGAGTTCCCCTCTCCCTTAGCTCTTTCTCCCACTCCCGAGTCTCAGTAAAACAGACTGGGACTACAAGTAACAGCACAAGATAAAATTAGATACATCTTCTACTTTCCTAAGAAGCCTTGGAAGCCTTTTCTCACCTCCTCGTTCACTAACAGGCCTCGCACAAAGTCATCTCGAGTCTGGTAGTCAAAGTTGTCTGTGAAGAGCTGAGCCACCTGGAGAGGGTGGGGTGGGGAGAGGAGATGTAGGGGTGGACTATTGTGCAATGATTCCCTGGAAGCAAAGATAAGCAGCCAGAGACTTAACACACCAAAGAGAGCTGGACTAAGATCAGCATCCCATAGAAGGTCCCAATAGGTTAACAGGGAGAAGATGACAACACATCTTTGCTTTAGAACAGAGAGGGAAGAAATATTAAGAAAAGAGAGGGAAGAAATATTCCTTGGCCTTTTAGAAATTCATTTATCTGAGAGACATACAGAGCATGTACACAGGCACACACGCCCATCCAGTGATTCAGTCTCCCAGTGCTTCCAACATCAGGGGCTGGGCCAGGTCAAAGCTGGGAGCTGGGACCTCAATCCAGGTCTCCCATACTGGTGACAGGGATCCAACTACCGGAACCATCACTGCTGCCTCCCAGGGTACATATTAGCAGGTAGCTGGAACTGGGACTGGAGCTGGGACTAGGAACTCCAAAATGGGACAGAGATGTTCCTGCCAGGGTCTTAACCATTAACTCAATATCTGCTCCCCTTGGTCTTCTAAGCAGGCGACAGTAGACCCCCAGGGTCCCGCTGTGAATATGCGGTGCTGAGGCGCTCACCTGAGGGGAGCAGATGCTGATATGACAATCCAATAAGTCATACCGAATCTCCACGCCAGCGCCACTGCCTTGGAACAGGCTCTGTGGGGAGAAATTCCAAGCACTTTAACTGGGTTCTTTACTGAGGCCCATCCCTTCCCTACCTCAAAGACCCTAGGCTGCTACACACCAGAGGAAAAGAGAAACGTCGGAGGCCCTGGGTCTTCTGGAAGTGGAGAATCCGGTTTGTGGCACTATCCACAGCCACTACCACATTGTCCTCATGGCAACGAGTCGGGTGGCTGGGGGATGATTCTTTGAAGATCATTGTCATCACAGACACATTTTTTTCTAGCTTCCGCCTTAACCTATAAAGGACAGGAGAGAGAGAGCCGCAATACAGCAGTCCTCAGGCTCTGGGCTCCCCAACCCTGTCCCCGCCACGCTCCCACCCTGACCTATGTTCCTCGAGGGCCCTGGTGACATTGATGTTGGAGACGACATCTCCGTACACCAGGAGGAAGTCAGAGCGCACCAGGGCTTTGGCGTCAACATCACGGAGGACATCTCCCAGCGATCGGTAGAGCTCTGATGTAATTATCCGAACCACGTTGAGGGATGTTGGGCGGCACCACTTGGATTTTCTATGGCAAGAGGGTGGTAAGGGCAATGAGTCAATCGGACATAAAGATTATGTGCACCACCCCCTATTTTTCAACCTTATGTGGCATCCACACTCCTTCTATATGGCTTTTCTGGGTTCCTGCCAGCGTCCTCAACTTCAAAAGGACTTATGAACTATAATTAACACTTTTAGCATCCTGTGTCACCAGTCTTGTTTTATGGGTTAGAGGAATATCATTATTTCCTCTCTATATCCTGAATCCTGTCCCCAGACATGCACTTAAAACTTGAAATCCTGCTGAAACCTACTGTATACAAAGTAGCCCATAAATATACTTTTCATGTCACCTTTCCTTTCTAAAGTCCACACCAAATTTAGAAAGTGTCTGAAGACTGTGCTAATATCCTTTTTATAAAAATTAATTAATTTATTTGAAAGGCGGAGTTACAGAGAAGGGGAAGAAAGAGAGAGAGAGAGCTCTTCCATCCACTAGTTCGCTCCCCAGATGCCCATAATAGCTAGGGCTGGGCCAGGCCAAAGCCAGGAGCCAGGAGCTTCATTCAGTTTCCCATGCAGGTGCAGGGGCCCAAGACCTTGGGCCATCTTCTCTTGCTTTCACAGGTGCATTAGCAGGGAGTGGATTGGAAGTGAAGCAGCCTGGTCTTGAACCGGTACCCATACGGGATGCTGGTGCTGCAGATGCAGCTTAACTTGCTCTGTCACAGCACAGCACCAGCCTCTCTAATGTCCTATCTTTATTTCCTAAAGTTCCATAAGCCCTGAGACTCACTCTTTTCATTAAGATCTTAACAAATATTTATTAAATGCTCACTTTGTGCTTGGCACTAAGCTAGGTAGAGGGAATAAAAAGATGAAACAGAGTCCATTCTTGCCCTTGAGGGTCAGAACACAGAATATTCAGAAATGCAGTGGAAAAACAAAGACGCTATTCTTGTAACTTCCACATTGGAATCATTAAATAAAAAATAAAATCCACCGGGACCACACTATGTAAAAAGGATTTAAGGAAAAAAATACTTCTTTGTTTGAAAGGCAGAGGGACACAGAGAGAGAGAAAAAGAGAGATCGACTGATCTTCCATCTGCTGGTTCATTTCCCAACTGTCTGCAACAGCACAGCTGGGCCAGGACAAAGCCAGGAGCCAGAACTTCAACCTGGTCTCCTACTTGGGTGGCAGAGACACAAGTACTTTTGAGCCATCATCTACTGCCTCCAAGGTGCATTAGCAAGAGGTAGCACTGGAAGTCAAGTAACTGGGACTTGGGATCCCAATATAGGATGCCGGTCTCCCAAGTAGCAGCTTAACACACTGTGCCACAACATAAATCTTTGTTGTAGGAGCCTTAAGACAGATACAAGGCTTCAGCTGTTCACCTGATAAGTGAGGAAAACACCCCAAGACCTTACAATAGGCTCTAACTAGACACATTCCCCCTTCCCCCGACATTTCCCTTTTCCATTCTGAAAATGCTGGAAAAAAAAAAACAGTGAAAACAGAAAGGGGTGTTGAAGGGTCTTACTGCAAATGTTCTTTGATCTGAGCAGCCTTCCAGCAACAAAACACAAAGGTCTCCTGTACACCTGTGGCAGTCAGGAATTCCAGAGTGTAGTCAATTAGCGCCACATTGGCCAGAGGCAGGAGGACCTAGGGGGTGGGATATGATGAAAGATGGAGGTCTTGAATCCAGGACAGCCTCTGGGTTCCCCACTGCAACAATTTTCATGCCTCTACCAGTGTTTCCGGGCACTACGGTTTGCTTTATCTTTCCAATTCAAAGATAAAACAAGGTTCTGTCTGTGAGAATCATGGCTTGCAAGGAATCTAGCTGCCTAGCGTGAGACCCAGTAGACCACTGCTAGCGACGCATAGTAATGGAAATCGGTCACATCTCTCAAAACATTTCCTTCCTTGATATCTTTGTAGGAATCAGGGACTAGTGTTCAAAATGAACAGCCAGCAGGCCTTTGGGGTATCGGGGGAGCTAGGGAGAATTTCCCCTAAACTCAATGGAGTTCTCTCTCTGAACTGGGCTAGCAACACCCAGGACTAGCTCAGCCCAATTCCCCACTGTCTAGACAATTAAGGGGATGATGGCAACCGGCCACTAAAGCTGGTCTATACGCCTCTGACAGATGGCACTGGCTGTCATTAGCACCTGGAGGGAAAAAAAACAGCACACGGCCCAAGACCTAGGCCGATTTTTGTAGGCAGATTGCTGCCCTTTCAGAGGCAGACGGGTCCCTTCCACTTAAGCATCCCTCCTCTGCAAGGTTAAAGGGCAGTGCGGTCTCCGCCTTGTCGGGGCAAGGTCTCCTCACGCGTCCTCCGCCTCGGTGGACAGCACTCTGAGCGCCCAAGTCTGCCAGCCGCTCGCTGACTCAGGCAGTCATCAGGGCTGTAGGCAACGCCTCCGTCTTTCTCCGAGGCAGGTAACCCCCGATTTTAGGAAAACAGAGGGGGACACAAGTCCTTCCAGGGCATGCTTCACCAGGCAGCCCAAAGGAGCTGGCATTCCACCTGCTCCAGCCCCGCCACCCTCCCCGTTGCTCGCGTGCGCGACGCTCACCCGAGGCTGGTCCTTGGAGATGGGGAAGAAACGGCGGTTGAAGCTATCGGCCACCAGGACCGCCTGGAGGGGCGGCGGAGACTCCTCCTCCGCACCTCGGGCTCCCCCGCCGCCGCCACCGCCTCCTGGCCCCCCGCCGCGCTTGTTGGCCCGATCAGACACTGCACCAGGCGGCGCCACCACAGTCGTCGCCATCTTTGTGTCTCGCCGTCACCACTTCCGCGAGGAAACAGACACCGCAAGCAGTAGGGGACAAAAAGGACCTCACACTTGAAACGCGCAGGAATGACGGGAGGGAGGCGGTGAGGGAGGAGGAGTGCGCATGCGTCCTGCCCCGAGCGCTTACCCGTCCCGCTGCTGGTCCCAGGCGGGAGGGCGCGAGGCGTGGCGCAGCCAGCGGAGGCGCAGGTGGGGTTGCAGCTGGCTCAGGCCCCGGTTTGGCCGTGGAGAAGCCGAGATGCTTGCGGCATGATGGGACTTGTGGGTGCCACGAAGGGGCTGGGGCTGTTCGGGATCCGTAGTCGCCCACTGGTTTCTCCGCCCATGTTAACAATTGTAGGCTTCCCTAGTCAGTCTGGTCACCTAATGGAACCCGGCGCCTGGGACGCCGGGACCGAGTCAGACAGACAGCGCCTCCCTACGGGGGCTCACAGTTGGGAGAGTGGGAATCCTGAGCGCTGTTTGTGGGTCAGGCACGGAGCAAGCCTGAACTCGGTTGACCGTCACCTATCTGCAAGACTTCTCGCTCATTCGTTCCACAAACACCTCGAAGGAAGTCCACCCAGCTAGCAAGTGCAACCCGCTCTGTCTTCACGGCTCCGTACGCCTGCTGCAGGCTCATGTGGGGACAACAATGACTAGGATGTATTCGTGGATTCATTCTCAACCTATCAGCCTATGCAGCATCTTAGGCGGAGAGGAGATGGTGGGAGGATCCCAGAGCAGCGGGAAATTGAGCAGGGCTGTCTTGGAAAAGGCCCGAGGCTGAAGGGGCGCAGCACGTTTCGGGGCAAGGCGCCACGGCTGAGAGGCGGACCGAGCCCGCGAAGGGCGGCACCCGTGGGGGCGAGGCCAGGCGCCGCCCGCGTTGCACGTCGGGAGTTGGAGTTTGCGGGGCCGGGTTTCCACGTGGCGGGTCCCATGCTCCCGGCTGGGCTCCCGCGGCTCTCTCTGTCATTCCTTCCTTCTCCCAGGCAAAGCAGGTGCTCGGCGGACACCCTTTGCTTTAGGAAGGCTTAACCTGGAGAAGCGAAAGGCAGCTCAGTGAGCGTTTTATTAATGAGTGGACGCGGTAAAGGAAGATATTTAACTGCCCTGTGAATGAATAGACCGAAAAAGGGGGAATAAAGCTGTGGGGGCTTAGCCAGAACTACTGAGTTGTGCAGACACACAGAAGAGGGGAATTTGAGGGAAGGGAAAGTAAACCCGATTGTAAGAAACATTTAATGTTGGTTTATTTTCATTTGCTTGAACCGCAGAGCGACAGAGAGAGTGAGAGAGAGATTCAATCTGCTGGTTCACTCCCCCAAATGCCAGCAACAGCTAGGGCTGGGCTAGGCTGAAGCCAGGAGCCAGGAGCTTCATCCAGGTCTCCCATGTGAGTGCAGGGGCCCAAGGACTTGAGCCATCACCTGCTACCTCCAGGATGTGCATCAGCAGGAAGCTGGGTACGAAGTGCTGGGACTTGAACCATGCACTCCCATATGGGCAGCAGGAGTCCCAAGCAGAGGCTTAACCTGAGCTCCACAACACTTCTCCTGTTTTAGAAGTTTTTGAGGATTCTGGGGACCTCGGAGAACAGTGAATTCCCAGCAGAAGGCATTTGTAGGAGTAGTAGACCCAGGCCTTAAAATTCTGTAGACGGGGCCAACTCCGTGGCACAGTGATTGAAGTGGATTAAGTGGCCTGCAGTGCTGGCATCCTGTATAGGCATGGTGTCTGAGTCCCAGCTGCTCCACTTCCATTTCAGCTCCCTGCTAATGTGCCTGGAAAAGCAATGGAGGAAGGCCCAAGTCCTTGGGCTCCTGCACACACCTGGGAGACCTGGAGGAAGCTCCTGGCTCCTGGCTTCAGATTGACTACAGCCATCTGGGGATTGAGCCAGCAGATGGAAGATCTCTCTCTCTCTCTCTCTCTCTCTCCCTCTTTTTATAACTCTCTTTCAAATAAATAAATTAAAAAAAAAATTGTGTAGGCAGGGGGAAGCCTTGTGGCACAGGGGGTTAAGCCACTTCTGGGTCCTGGTTGGAGTCCCTGCTGTTCTGCTTCCTGGAAAACAGCAGAAGGTAGCCCAAGCACTTGAGCCCCTGCCACCCATGTGGGAGACCCAGATGGAGTTCCTGGCTTCAGCCTGGCCCAGCACCCTTACTATTGTAGCCATCTGGGGAGTGAACCAGCAGATGGAAGACTCCCTTGCTGTCACTCTGCCTTTCAAATAAAGGAATACATACATACGTAATCTTTTTTAAAAAAAATCATAGACAAAGTGTATCATCACAATAACAGCTAATAATACCAACATTGACCATGTGGGTTAAATGGTGTTCCAACCAAGGGCTTTTTCATATACTACTCATTTAATTATCACAACTTTTTGGGGTAATGCTATTATTATCCCAATTCAAAGATGAAGTCCAGGCAGAGAGAGGTTGAGTAACCTGCCAGCTGGGAAATGACTTGGAACTGGAATGGGAGCTAAGAGGAGGCTGGCTTTGGAGTACCACTGTGTAATCATACAATGTCTACATACACAACTCCTTGTTTGTGTGTGAATATGCTTATGTGTGTTTCAGTGTGTATGTGTGTATGTGTCTAGATCTGGCTACATAAACAGGAGAAAAATGAGAACAATGTCAGGCAAATCATTAGTAATGGTCATAACCCCAGGAGATGGGGTAAGGTGAGAGAAATAGGGGGAGGATTTTTTTTTTAAATATTTGTTTATTATTTGAAAGTCAAAGTTACAGATAGAAAGAGAAAGATCTTCCATTCACTGGTTCCCTGATGACAAGGGTTAGGCAAGGCCAAAGCTAGGAGCTAGGAGCTTCATCCAGGTCTCCCACGTGGGTGCAGGGGCCCAGGCACCTGGGTCATCCTCTGCTGCTTTCCCAGGCATGTTAGCAAGGAGCTGTTTTGGAAGTGGAGCGACCAGGACTTGAACTGGCACCCATATGGGATGCCAGCACTTCAGACAGACAGTGGCCTAACCTGCTGGGCCACACCACTGGAGAGGGAGATTTTAACTTTTTATGTTGCTTGTGTGTATGTTTGTAATTATGTATGTGTGGTTTTCACTATCTTTCTGTAAGTTTTGAAACAAAAAGAACAGATTACGAAAGAGAGAGATCTTTCATCTGCTGGTTCACTCCCCAAATGGCTGTAACACCCAGGGCTGGGCCAGACTCACACCAGGAGCCAGGAGCTCCATCCAGGTCTCCCATGTGGCTGGTGGGAACCCAAGTGCTTGGGCCTTCATCCGCTGCTCCCCAGGGTGTGCATTAACAGGGCGCTGTATCAGAAGTGGGGTCGCTGGGACTGAAACTGGCGCTGTGATATGGGATGAAATTTAACTTGCTTCACCACAATGCTGCCCCCCACCCCCAAAATTGATTTTTATTTTATGTGTGATGGAGTAGAGACAAACAGAACTATTTTCAGTGATTCCATAGTATTCCATAGTGTGAGCATGTCATTCTTTTTCCAACCAGTTCTCTATTATAAATGTTCAGATTTTTTTGGATATCTTTTTGCAATTACAAGTAATGCAGCAACAGGCATCCTTTCTGTTTATATCTGTATGAGCTTAGGTTAATTCTTAGGATTCATTCTCAAAGTTGGGTGAGTGGTTTGTACTGGATGTAATTCCTGTGGAGTGAGATACGACGTTGAACCCACAGGCAAGCTGCTGGGCACTGGTGGGACTCAGAGATAGTGCTTAGTTGCTTTTCACAGACAAGGTGCCATTTGGTCCTGGCACCAACCAAATGCAAGAGTGCTTGTTTCCCGATAGCCTCACCAGCAGCGTGCTTTGGCAGCAGTTTGGGTCTTCTACCAATCTATAAGAGAAAAAGCTGTGTAGTGTCAGTTTGGATTTCTCTTATTTTGAGTGAGGTTGGACATCATTTAATTTGTATTTGTGGGTCAGTTGTCCATTCTGATTCATTTTGTAAATTAACATATCTGCATTTAGATTTCGAGACGAGGCTTGAAGATCAGTCAGTTTAGATGTATTTCTGGGGCCAGCGCCGTGGCTCGCTTGGTTAATCCTCCGCCTGCGGTGCCGGTATCCCATATGGGTGCTGGTTCTAGTTCCAGTTGCTCCTCTTCCAGTCTAGCTCTCTGCTGTGGCCCGGGAAGGCAGTGGAGGATGGCCCAAGAGCTTGGGCTCCTGAACCCACATGGGAAATCAGGATGAAGCACCTGGCTCCTGGCTTCGGATGGGCGCAGTGCCAGCTGTGGCAGCCATCTGGGGGATGAACCAATGGAAGGAAGACCTCTCACTGTCTATAACTCTACCTGTCAAATAAAAAAAAATGTAATCTCCGAAAATCAGCGTTTTTTGCTGGTGTCATTCACTGCTTGCCAGGTGTGGTAGGTGCTCCATAACTGTTTGTTGAGCCAATGACCCGTTGTTGCTGGTCAGTAGCTGAGACTCGGATAGACTTTAGACAAACAAAAGTGATTTTAGGCTGTCCCCAACCTGAGGCTCTTCCCCTTGCCTCCTTGAATTCCAGCCAAAATGCACATAGTATAGAAGGTAATATCTTACATTCTGAGGCGTACAGTTCAGCAGTGTTGATTACCCAACACTGATGTGCTGCCATCACCAGCACTCGTCCACAGAAGTGTTGGTCTTGCAAAACTGAAATGGTGTACTCACTAACAGTGACTTCCCTTCCTTTGTGATGGGTTTATTTCACTCAGCGTAGTAGCTTCAAGGTTCATTTTGTAGCACATGTCAGGATTCGCTTTGTTCTTTCTTTCTTTCTTTCCTTTTTTTTTTTTTTTTTTGACAGGCAGAGTTAGACAGTGAGAGAGAGCGAGAGAGACAGAAAGGTCTTCCTTCCGTTGGTTCACCCTCCAAATGGCTGCTATGGCTAGTGCGCTGCGCCAATCCAAAGCCAGAAGCCAGGTGCTTCCTCCTGGTTTCCCATGCAGGTGCAGGGCCTAAGCACTTGGGCCATCCTCCACTGCCTTCCCGGGCCACAGCAGAGAGCTTGGATTGGAAGAGGGGCAACTGGGACAGAATCCGCGCCCCAACCGGGACT